AGAAAAGAAGCTGGTCTGCAAAGTAGCCTCAGGATCATTTTTTTCTCTTTCAATGATGATATCCACTGTTACACTGTATTTTCTTTATTTCTGCTCCCTTCTTTTTTTAAAATCTAGGTTAAGTAGCTTGTGGTTTCATTATGTGGTAAATTTTTTAAAAATAAGATTTTGCTGTATGAATTAGATCTATTTCTTGATTTAATCAATTTGTTATTGTTATTATTATTAGCTTTAGCATTACTTTCCTTTAATTTTCCTTTGGTTTACTTTGTCCTTTTTTTAGTTCTTTGTGTTGAAATTTTGATTTGTCATTATTTCAGTGTTTCATTTTTATTGCTATAATTATATTAATGTTACTCAGCCATAAAAAATAAGGAGATCTGTCATTTGTGACATGATTGGACCTTGAGGACATTATGCTAGGTGAAATAAGTCAGAGAGAGAAAGGCAAATACTATACAGAGCCATTGTTGTGAATATTGAGATAAAAGTAGAAAACACAGAGAGTTGAGATTATTGAAAAGAAAAAGTGAGTAGGTGCTAAAGATCCTGTTGAAAAATGAACTTGACAGATTTGTAGATCATCTTGGCCAAATTGCTTCCACCAGCACCATCTTCCCCAATTTATCGTACTTTTCCATTGACACATTTTCTTGTGCTGCTCCATCACTCAAGAACATTGATCTCATCTTAGGGACCACCCTTCATGGTCCAGACCTTGTAAAACTGTCAATGCAACCTTACCAAGAAGTTAGCTCTAGGAGAGGGTGTGGAGAAAAGGGAACCCTCCTACACTGTTGGTGGGAATGTAGTTTGGTGCAGCCAATATGGAAAACTGTATGGAGATTCCTTAAAAAACTAAAAACAGACTTACCATATGATCTAGCAATCCCATTCCTGGGCACTTACCCAGAGAAAACTCTAATTCAAAAAGATACACGTCCCCCAGTGCTCATAGCAGCACTATTTATAATAGCCAAGATACAGAAGCAACTTAAATGTCCATCGGCAGATGATTGGTTAAAGTTGTGGTATTTATATATATAATGGAATACTACTCAGCCATAAAAAGAATAAAATAATGCCATTTGCAGCAACATGGGTGGACCTGGAAATCATCATTCAAGGAAGCCAGAAAGAGAAAGAAAAATGCCATATGATATTACCTATATGTGGAATATAAAAAAGTGACACAAATGAACTTATGTACAAAACAGAAACAGACTCACAGACATAAAAAACAAACTTATGGTTACCAGAAAGGAATGGGAGTGGGGAGGGATAAGTTGGGAGTTTGGGATTTGTAGATACTAACTACTATAAATCAAATAGATAAATAACAAGTTCTTACTGTATAGCATAGCAGACTACATTCAATACCTTGTAATAGCCTATAATGAAAAAGAATATGAAAACAAACACTATATATATATATAGCTGAATCACTCTGCTATACACCAGAAAGTGTAAAAACATTGTAAACTAACTATCTTTCAATTAAAAAAAAAGTTAGCTCTACATCTTGGTTTTGGATCTAAGCATTGCGGTGACGCATTCTGTGACTTTGGGAAACTCTTTATTGTCCCCTCTGGGCCTCGCATTTTTCATGTTTAATGTAAAGAGTGGTTCATGATAATCTCAAAGTGTACTGTTTGTTCTAAAGAGATGGAAGGCTGTGTGATCAGGGAAACTGCCAAGAGCTGATAAACATGAGTGCATGTTTTTACCCCCTCGGACTGGCACCCCTAAAGGGATGACACACATGCCTGACGGGAAAAGAGTCTCCGTGTTCCTCTTCTAGATAGGGCATAAGAAGTCCTTAGAGTTTCTCATAATCTTTGCAGCCACCGCTCAACTGTTCTGCCTCAGAGATGGCCATGACCAGTCAAAGAGGAGTCGAGGGCTCGCAACCTCGGAGAGGCGCTTGAGGTCGGTGGATGCTAGGCTCAGCGGGGGGAAGTTTGTGAGCAGGAATGTGGGTCTTTCCATGGGCACTGAGTGTCTAATACTTGTTCTTCTCACCAAGCTACTGTGAGGATGTCAAACGACGTTTTTTGTGTGTGACCTTCATGGTGCCTGGAAGTCACAAATTGACTTTCTTACCCTCCTGACTTTCCCCCCAGAGTTACTCACATAGACAGATGTGCCTCTACGGAGTTCTAGGTTAGTTGGAGTTTTAGTGCAAAGGGCTCAGAAACCTCCACTTGCTCTGGCCTTCTCTTTTACAGGTATTGTTGGTGAGGTTCGGAGAGTGTGCGGAACTCCGAGTCTAAGGGGATTGGAATGGAGGTTTGACTGATGACACAGGATTGCCTGCTTCTGAAATCCAGGAGGAAATCAGACAACAGAGGGCACCTGGAAGGAATCTGAGGCCTGATGTCTGAATGGGGATGAAAAGAATGGGGATGAAACTCTTCCCTGCCCAGATACAGCCTTCTAGGTGGGCAGAACCTGGCCCAAATGCGGACATGGAACCAGTGGATTCTTGGTCCAAAGTCAAAATGGGCCCTCATCATTTTGTGAACCCCCTTATTTCTCTGAATAAATAACTCCTCTTGACACTATAAATGATTGAAAAATACTAGTGGGGCTCCAGGTGTCAGGAGAAAAATGATCAGGTATCAGCTGGAATCACAGAAATGTACATTTGCAATAACGTTATAAAATATAATTTGTATAGTTTTATTTATTTATGTATTTTTAAATTTATTATTATTATTTTTTAATGGAAGTACTGGGAATTGAATCCAGCACCTCATGTATGCTGAGCACTCGCTCTGCTGCTGAGCTCTACCCATCCCCCCACTATTTGCAACAATTTAATCAGATCAGCCAGTTTCATTGAAAGGTAGGATGAACACTGGTCTAGGAGACAGGGAACCAGATCTTGGTGGCCCTGACTTGCTGAGTGAAATTAGGAAAGTGATTTCTCCCTAAATTTCTCCCTATAAAATGATATAAAGCAAAAGGGGAAAGTTCATCTACCCACAGTCTTTTTGTTGTCTCTTACCCCTTGCTTGGATCGTTTTGTTAATCTGGTGCCAAAATCATGGAAGCTGTGCAGTGTCAAAACTATTGTATCCTGGAAAGCTGGTATGAAAGGAGAGCTTTAATGTTCTCACCGTAACAACCACTGGCAAAATGGTTGTTATGTGAGGTGAAGGATTTGGTAACTATTTTCATTGTGGTAAACATTTTGCCGTGTATGCATGTATCAAGTCATCACACTGTACAACTTAAACGTATACAATGTTATATGTCAATTTTACCTCAATAAAGCGGGGGTAGGGGGACAACACTGAAAGGGTAAATATTGCTCTCTTCACTATAGAGAATCTAAACATTCAGGAACACACTAATTATTTATTCAAGAACTTTTTCTGTGCAACATGAACACTTGTTTAGGTTTCTCTTTTAAAGTTCTGCCTGCTTCTCATGTTGATTTATTGAGTGGTTTAATTGTGTTGATATTATAAGTGGGAATATTTTCCTTTTCCATTTTCTAGTTAGTGCCAGTTTATAATAAAAATAGGATTTATCATCACTTACTAACTGTGTGTCTTTGGGTGTTTAGCGAAACTTTCATGGCTTCAATCTTTTAATAAAAGTAAAGATGTATATACTACCTGTCTGAGAGAGGGCTAATGAGAAAAAAGATAAGACAATGCATATAATATACTTATTATAAGATCTGGAACAGAGAAAACACTGAAATACAGAAATGATTCTTAACCACCAATGGTATATTATGTATTTGTCAGGCCAGAAGTTCAGACACTGCTTTTGCCTACATACAGAATGCACAGTCCAGCCAATCCCTTGGAGAATGAGAGGGGACCCCTGGCTTGTAGCTCCTGGAAGAGGGACTAAGGGACACTGTGCCCTCAGTTCTCTCACTCCAAGCCTCTGTCCCCCAACCTTCACTCACAGCAGGAGCCCAACTCACACACACACACACACACACGCGCGTGCACGTGCATACACACACACATACACACACACGCACACACACACGTACACACACAAAAGAAGTGTTTCAGGGCCAGAAAATCAGGGCTGAACTGTACTTCCAGAATACTTTCATCCAACCCTCCTCAAGTTGGATAGACTACTGAGGCTCAGAGGGGGAGAAAGATTTGTCTGAGGTCAACCAGCAAGTGGAGAGGAGGCTGGGGCTGGAACTCCGGTCTCCTGACTCCCAAACCTGTGTCCTTCCCACCCCTCTCAACCCAAAATGCTCCCCCTCCTTGGCTTTGGCCTTCCCTGAGAACTTCACTGCACAAGGGCAGTAGGGCAGGGGAGCCAACGGCAGAGCCGCGAGGTCATTCAAGTTCGCCTCACAAAACCTTCCTCTTTCTTCACTCCCGGAGTCTGCTCTATCCCAGTGTGCATGTCTCCAGAGAACAGTATTCAGCAATCACAAGAAAGAGTCAAGGACTTAATGTGTCTTGCCTCCTCATTCACATCTTAAAATAGAAAGCTGGGAGGGGAGATTGCTTAACCCAAAGGAACTATGTGTTACTGGAGGCATCTCAGGCACGAACAGGTGAAATGCTTCACTAGCAAGGATTTTCCAGCATCTGTCTTCTTGGAAGGATACAGATCCCTGGGAAACATGAAAGGAAGGAGGGAGCTACAGGTGGAGGCATGAAGGTTCACTGGTCGCACTGACGGGGCTGATCACAGCCAGGTCACAAGTAGGGGATCAATGATGAAGGAAAGGAACTGCCTGAAATTTACACAACTTTTTGGGTTTTATTTGCCTGGTCTGCAGCCTAAGGCAAAATGTTCCCATTTCCTAGTGAAACGGAGACTGCAGTTCTTGGGTTGATTATTGGATTTCTAGAGTGATCGCCAGGAATGGGCCTCTCGTTCCAGCCCGGGCTCTCCTTCAGCTTCCAACGGGTCCCTCTTCCAGGGACCGGAAGTCCCAACACCACACCCATCTCCCCAGAGCTTCTAAGAGCCCAAAAGTCATAGGAGCCAGAAACAAATGAATCTGAAAGTGGTTTTTTATTGGAAAGTCCATGAGAGAGGCAGTCTAGGCTTGGGCATCCTGGATGAGAGGAAGAGGAGTAATGTAGGAGAGGTTAGCGCTGCCGGCACCAGGGCCTGCTTCCCTGGGGACTTCAACGTGCAGCAAGAATAGACTCCATCTGGTAGAAGAAGAGAGAATCAGAGATGTGATTCGGCAGGTCAGAGCACTCAGAGGCAGTGCGGGGCAGGGCTGAGTCTACATGTCACCCTTCTCAGGACCCAAGTTAGAGCCTCTGAATCCCCTCAGTCTCTCCATCACCTCCCTCTATCCTCTTCCCCACCAATCTGGGATCCTTCCCCACCACTCAGCCTCCCTGTGCCCTCAGGGGTCACCTCTCCCTCCACCCAGTTCTCACCTCAGCTGGGGAGCACCGCCACCCGCCAAGGCGCATCGGACAGCACTTGTAGGGCCATGGACAATCGGAATCCTTCACACACTGCTTAGGGAGATTTGGATCGTCCCACTCAACCAGCATCTTGGGGCAAAAACCAGGATTAGTGTAGAGTTCCATTAGGTTTTGTCCCTTAACTGGATCTTGTCCTTTGACTGGATCTTGACCTTCGACTGGATCTTGACCTTTGACCGGACCTCTGCCTTTATAAACACCCTGACCTTTAGGACGACCTGTTGAAAGAAGAAATATCCTCACATTTAGACCAGGTGCCTGGTTCAACTATCTAGTCTTTCCTCCAAGTCCAGCCACGGCTCACTGCAGTGTCCCTCAGACAGGGACTCATGGTAGAGGAGAGTCAACAGCGCTAGCTGAGGTCTGCGCTCTTGGAAGGCTTTTCCTGGGCCTTGGGGAAAGGGTCTATGGGTCCACTTCTCCCCTCTCTCCATTCTGGGTCCTGGGACTCCCATGAGGAGATTCCAGACTGGAGTGACTTCCAAAGGTGACAAGGACACATTGTCATCTTTGAGGGAACTGAGTGGAGGGAAAGAGCCATGAGACACCTGCCAGGAGACCCAAGCTCCAACCTGGTCCTGGAGATTGCCTTGACAATTCCTCACCCCTCTCTAGAACTCAATGTCCTCCTTAGGAAAATAAGAGTCTTCAAACTACATTATTTCTGAGTCCCTGATAGTCCCTAACTTCCTATTCAAGGACTGATGACTTAGGTGATTTTACAGGGCAGACAGGCAGGGGACAGACTCCATACTAACGGCCCAGCTTCAGGGGACGCCTCACTTCACCAAACGTTCTGTCCAAGTACCAACACTTGAGGCCAAGTCTACATCACCATGTTTCTTCCACAAATAGCACTGATATCTCAGTCCTGGGGTGGAAAGCATGTGGAGTCCACTGGGCAACTTCCTACTTCTCTGGATACACTGGAAACCTGCTGTCCAGGCTGAAGTCTGGGCTCTGGCCCAGCTTGCTGCTCCAGAAGTGCTCCCTCTAAGGACCCAGGCTGCCCCCAGCAGCCTCTCCTTCAACCCAGCCCTGTCTGGGCCACTCACCTTTTACAACAGCTGCCTCGGCTGCCAGTGTCCCAAGGACGAGGAGCACCGCCACCAGGACCAAGAAGCTTTGGGACCTCATGTTGTCAGGAAGGTGTATGGCTAAGAGCTGAGGTCAAGCTCTGTTTTATGCAGCCCCAGCTTGGCCTGGTGCCAAGGGCGGGTCTGTGGTTTCACAAGGGGCAAGACCTAGGTTTTTTAGTTCTACCAGGAAATATCTACCTCCATCCTGGGAGGGATCTTGTGCCTTTCCTCAAGGATTATTAACAGGGAGAGATGGCAGGTAGTGTTACACCATCTCTGAGAGCCCCAAGAGCTATCTCACTTTCTCACCAAGAAGCAGGGCTGGCTGGCCCTTGGGCCCCATTAAGATCAAATTCTTCATATTTAGAATGAATATGAAGCCCACTGAAGAGAAAGGAAATCACCCAAGGTCATTCAACAAGTCAGCAGTAGGTCCAGCTCTGTTTTCAAAGCCTAGGTGTTCCCCCATTACTCCCTGTTCTCGCAAGCCCCAGCCAGACCTACTCGAACAGTTTACCCTTCCCAGCATGAACCTCGGCTTTCCTTTCATTCTACCCTGACCCCAAGAAGAACTCTCGCAGGCAAGTTTGCCTTGAACATCTAATGACTTGATCACTGTACTTTTCCATTTCACAGGTAGTCTCTGAGATGCACCAGCAAAGTAATAGGGAAGGTGGAATTCTAGATCTGGAATGGCATGATGCCCTTGGGATCACAGTGAGAAAGGAGAAAACACTCATAAGATAAAAAGAAGAAAACAGAAATTATCTATAATGTAGACATCTGCAGTGCCTATATCTAACCTGCCTTCCTCCTTCTTAGAATAGTACTCTGTTTCTCCTGAAGAACTCTTGTTTCTTGGTACCATTAACCTATTAATCCAGTGGGGACTGCTAATCATGAAAGCTTGACACCTTTATTTGAATGGACACTAAGTGGAAGAGTGAAGTCCCTCCTTTTGATAAAGGTGGTAGAAATGAGCCTGGGAACTCCAGGAGCTATGGTTCCAGTCTGGGAGGGGGATCAACTTTTTGAGGAAAAAATGAACCTAATTCACTTAGAAAAGAAGAGGAATGATGGAAAGAGAGGATTCGAAAGGCATCAGCCTTCATCCCCCTTTACCTTGAGAGCAGCTCTTTCCATACCCTTCTGTCAGTTAGATTATGACTTAATAAATTGGCTTCCTGCCTAAGCTAGTCTGAGTTGGTATATTGTCACTGCTACCATAATTGAGAGTAATAAAAATACCCAGATTGGGTATTATCAGGGCCAGAACCTGAAGTGTGGAAATGACTGAGTTGAGTTCCTGGTGAGACACGAATGAAAGCAAACTAATTATTTTATAGTAAACCAGTTGTTGAAATCTCTATTCATTGTCTCTTTGGACTCAGACCACATGCCAACCAATGCTGAAACATTAAGGAGATATAAACAAATTTCAGAACATTGGAGGTTGTAGACAACTTAAAAAAAAAAAGCTCATTGCAAAATAAATTATCAAACCAAAAATCTATGTAGAACATATCTCTATTCTTCAAAGAATTAAAGCATCAAAATGGCAGACTGTACTCACCTACCAGATTTTTTTAAAAAAGCCTATTTCCTGTATTTGTGCTGTATTAACCCTTGCTCTTCCCCAATTTTTTCCCTCTCCATCCTCCCCAGAGGTAACCACCTTCCTGGATTTTCTCTTAATAGGCCTATTCAAGCATCTTGTCCATTTCTTATTGGGTTATCTTTTTCTTATTGATTTATAGAGAAAATAAAATCTCACACATTACTAGTGAGAGTATATATTCATGCAACCATTTGAAAATTAATTTGACATCAGAAAGTAAAATTGAACATGTGCATATGGGTATACAAAGGTAGTTTAATGCTAGAAACTCAATTTATGTAATTCTCCACACTAATAGATTAAGGAAAAAAAATATAAGCTTAGATACAGAGCAGCATTCAATAAAATTCAAGATGCAGTTGTGATACAGAAATAGCAAAATTAGGAATGAGGAATAATTTTTTTTGGTGGACATTTATACAAGCCTCTGTTTTGTACTGAACCAGATCACTTTTCATTCCCTTGTATTCTTTTCAAATTAGATTCTTGGTGATGGAAAACGTTATGAAAACATGTATGTAGAAATCATTCTTTTAAAGTGATAAAAACTACCCTATAGCAAACATCATACATAAATGTGAAAAGTTTTAACCTCTTCTTGTAAAATCAGGAACTATCCCCAATTCTATTCAGTATTATTCTGGACACTCTATTCTATAAATTCAGACAAACAGAAGAAATAAAAGGTGTAAGTATTAGAAAGAAAAAACAAAACTGTCATTATTCATAGATAATACAATTGCATTCATAAAATTTCAAACAAATCTACAGATAAATTGTTAGAATCAATGAGAATTTATCATGACACAGGCATACAAAGAAAATACACAAAAATCAATTGTATTCTATACATCAACAACACAAATCAGTAAACAAAATTTTAATGATTTTTATAATCACATAAAAATATAAAACACTTATAAATACATTTAATAACTTCCGTGCAGAACCACTACATAGAAAATTATATAACATTAGTGAGAGATATTTTTAGCACCCTTAAATCAGAAAGGTATACCATGTTCATGGATTGAAAGAATCAATATATATGCCAATTGTCTTCAAATTGATTTTTAGACTCAATGCAATGAAACCTCCAGAAAGGTTTTTATAAAACAAACCAAAAAAATTTTTGACAATATAATTCTAAAATGTATACAAAAACTGCCAAAGGCAAGATAGTCAAGATACTCTTGAAGAATAATAATTTAATAAGAATTGATACAGCAGATATCAAGATTTATTTTAAAGCTGTAATAATTATGATAAAGTGGTATTAGAACAATGATAGATAAATATGTAAATGAAACACTAGAGAGTCCAAAAACAGATGATTGTACATGTGAGAGCATGTTTTTAGTTTGGTTGTATTAAAAATATTGCTACAGTTATATTAAGAAGACTGCACATAATAATATTAACATAGGTTCCCTGAGTGGTTCATAGGAGGATGCAGGTTAAGAAGGTAGATGGAAGAAGGGAAAAGGCAAATAAAAGGTAGTTTATAGCAAATAAAAATACATACATACATTCATACATACCAAAAATCTCATCGTGCCTGATGTGATCCTATTACATTTATAAGTACATTAGAAAAAGAATGAATATCACTAGATCTCTGTTTACTGACTTCTTAGCGATGTCCATGAAATCTTACCAACAGAAAAAGGAAGTTGGAGAATAGTATATGTGTTTCGATAGTATTTCAGTCGAACATAGAACTCCTGTATTTGACTATGTTTAAGTATGACAACAGAAAAGCGTTTGAAGGAATACACACTGCTGTTAACACTCGTTCAATGGTAATGCTGGGAGTGGACAGGAGACAATCCTTTCTACATATTAGTTTTTCATTTTTTCACTTGTCACACTGTTTATGAAAGTTCAGTTAACAATGAAGTTAAGAAGAAAAAAGGAAATTTTATTTGAGCCAAACTGAGGATTATAATCCAGAAGACAGATTGTCAGAAAGCTCTAAGAACTGTTCCACCAGGCAGAAGTCGAAGGCAAAGGCATGAACATTTCTGAGACAACGGATCATATATCAAAATGACATAGTGATATTTTACAAAAAGTTCACCAAGGATATGTCGTCTAGGTAAGCACAAAGCGAGCAGCAAGTCCTTGACCCCCTAGAGAGCTGGGAACGACCGCTGTTCTTTTAAGAAGTTACATTGCTAGCGTCAGAAGAAAGGAAAAATATTTATCTTTATGGTCGAGCAGGCACTCCTATCTTTGGGGAAGTTTGGTTAACGTGTAATGCAGATGCTTACCGCACATTAGGTAGGGAGGGAAAAGGCCCAAACGGACACACAGAAAGAATTTTTGTTAATAGAATGTTGTAGAATTTGTCTTTCTTTTTCTTATTTCTAGGATGCTAAATAATGAAGAATTGACCTTCAATGAAAATTCCAAAGTTTACAGAATAATTTAAATACATTGTTAATTTTCATTTAGTATTCTGGCTTTATCTCGTTATGCACTACTTGCAGATGAAAGAATGACTTTGGTTTTAGTAACACTGACACCACTGTGGGTTTGGCAATGTCATCAGAGAAAAGTCCACCAATCTCAGGGGAAAAACACCCTGAAATCACAAATATTTATAAAATATTATTTATAACACTCCATTTAAAATACATGAACCACAACACCAAATAAAAATATATTATTAGCCCAAGAAATAATTAAAAATTCAAACAAGATGCTTTATCCAGTATTAGCTTAATGGCAGGAAGTTCCATTCTTTTGGTTAAGTATAGGCCTAAATTTGGTTATACCAAATAAGTGGGCAGGTCTAATTTACTGTCACTTGAGAGAGAGAATTTTATGTTTAATTTTTCTTCTCCTGCCTTAAAATATAAATTTTATTTCATCACAACAAAATTCACCACCATTGTGATCTGAACATATCTAATAAAGAAAATAAAATTAATAAATTAGAATAAAGGATTCAAGGAATCATGTGAGTGAAGAAAAGTATAATTGACAGTTGGATCTAAATAAATGACTATGTATGTCATATAATGTAACCATGAATGTACGTGTCAAGAAGAGATGCTTAAAATATTAAGTGTTGCGATGTAAAAACTTAATAGTGTGTGTCAGGTATGATTCAGGTGCAGTCAGAAGAAATTACTCTAGGGAGTTCAAGAGGAAAAGAATTCAGCTATTTGTATCAGTGCATTTCATTCCAAGAACCTGAATCACACCTGAAATCCTGGACGGGAAAGAGTCTAGGAAAGACAGGCATTTGACTTACAGCCTCTGCAGGAAGACATTCTGGGAGCAGTTGAAATGCCTGTTGATTAAGCCACTGCACAGTACATGCCATATGCCTGCTCCCCCCGCCCCATTACACTTCAAAACATCAGCAAAAACTCACCTTCCAAAGGTAAAGTGCCTGCCTTGAATGAGAGTTGAAGTGAGCTGGTCTGAGAACAAGAAAGGTAGAACACAAGTGCTGGGAGATACAGAGAAAATGCATCGGGGAAAAGAAGATGGGGTGTTTCTGAGAGAGGTTATTACATTGAAATGCTGGAATAATATGTCTTTGTGGCAATGGCTGTTGGTGGAAGTCCTCCTGTTTCAGAGGAGTCGCTAAGAATCAGAAGTCCACAATATGTATTAAGGAGACTGCCCATTATTGTAGCAACAGAGGAGGGAGCCCTTGAGCTAAGAAACTAAGAAAACTATTCTCACCTCTATCCTCTCCCCGTCCAGTAAGATACTCCTTTCACTCGCTGGTCCAGGAAAATCTACTGATTTTAAAGTAAGAAAGAAGTTTGGAAATCACACAAGCCATATGAAAATATTCCTTTTTAAAAACAGAAATGAATAGCAAAGCTTAAAAGCGTTTAAAACAGGATTTTAAAAATCCCCAGGAAAATGTCACCACAAAGCTGAGAAA